AAAAAAAAATATTCCAATTACATAAGCACACATGTATCCACATACTGATATATCCAAGCCTACTCGTTCATTTTCTGTAAAACACAGCTTTGAAAAATAGTAACTCTAAAAGTCAGGGGAGAGCTCTGAATTGATCGCTTAAAAGATTATATCCAGCCTTTCTTAGGACAAGTCTGAATCAGTTCTGTTGGTTGTACCCCAATGTAGTCATTTACAAGAGCTTCAGAGTTCCCTGCTCCATAAACCTGTGTTTTCTTTCTGTCAAATCTTTGTCAGTTTCTTTTGGTGGGGTGAACCAACTGGTTCACAGGGCAAGATTTAAAATTGAATTACAGTGCACAGTATCGACTTCCCTGATAGATCTCATGCCCCAAATCCAAACTAGCCTCCTCTTACTCCCCTAAAAGTCTGCCCATTCAGATGCCAGTTCTCTTCTAACCCTTCATTTAGATGCCACCCATCAATACAAAGAGACAACACACATACCTAATTCTAAGCAGTGAGTTCAATTAATTGACTGTTCTATGTTTATACACATTATCTCAAGGAATTCCATTCACTTAAAAGTTCAATCTAAAGGAAGAAAACTCATTCATTGCCAAGACAGATCTGTTACTGCCGGGAATGTGGAAGCTCACACCCAGAATGAACTACTTGTTTTTGAAATCAGTAGGCATAAGTTTTGGACCAAGTTTTCAAGTCAGTAACGGTCCTTGTACAGCTATGGCATTTCAGACATCAGACACCTATAACTACTAAGAGACTTAGGTGAAACTAAGTGAACATCACAGCACTTAAAAAAGTCTTCAGCGATCGTCAAATCACACATGCTTCTCTGTTAAGACTGTGCAACATCCTGCAAGTGAGAGTTAAGTAATTCAAAATGGGACAAAGGAACTCTTACATCTCACCCTCACCTAGGAAACAGAAGCCTTTCAAAAGCTGAACCAAGAACTGAAATCCTGCTTTCCCTTCTCCGTAGCACAACCGACTGACACTCACCAAGGTGGCAGAATTCAGGCCGAGTCTGACTTCAGTGGACAGAAATACAAATTGCTGTCTATTGCCACCTCTCACTAAGAAATGTCATGATTGCTCGGCTACAGGCTACGCCACGTGTGAGGTAGAAATGATGGCTTTGTGGAAAGGAGGAACCTAATATAAATCTTCCTGTCCCCAAACTGTCCAATGAATATTAAACAGACAAATACATATGCAGCTTTTGGAACTCCAATTGAAATCCCTAAATATTAGCCAAGCCAACTCCTCTTCTACAAAAGGAAGTATCCACGGGATGGTGTTAAAGTATCTCCCCCAATTCCCAGTAATTTATAGCCTAATACTCTGTAAAGTGAAACGTTAGGTTTAAACCCCTTCTAGACAAAGAAACCAAACGTCCTGCTATCTTGAGGGAATCCCTAAGGTATCAGAAAACTAAACAAAACCTTTTCTCTACAGTTCTGCACAGCAGGCTTTCAAAGGAGATACAAATACACACTCTGGATAAATCCTGACCCAGTCATGTGCTCTAAAAATACCTAGCCCCTTTGAACAGAGAAGCAACCAAGCACCTCTCCTGCATATTCAGAGGAGGGTGGTAAGCAACACGCACAAGAGAATCGTCTCCTCTCAGGCTTTGCTCATTTCCGCTCAAGGCCAGAATGAGAACTACAGGTTTCTGGTGAAGCAGCGGGGAAGCTAACAGAGCTGAGCCATAGTGGGATTTTATGGGAAAGGCAAAAATGGGGCTGTAGCTACAGACTGAAATCAGAAAACATCAGCAGACCCACCGACACCTCGTTTGTTTCTCAGCTTCACTGAACACCTCTGCCATTGAAGCCATGGCAATACACCAACAACTTAACATTCCTTGTTCTTGTTGCCTTACTCGCTGTAGCTTCCCTGAAGAAACTAATACTACATTCCAATTTATTTTCACTAAAGCAAAATTCAGGAAAGAACCTCTACCAAACTTACTTCTAGTGGCAACAACCCTCGGTGAACAGATAGGATACGACTGGCAGGAACTTTGTACGTTATTCCAAAACAAGCGCTGAGTCTGCTGGCATCCAAATGGGAATATGGGGCCACACTTGCAGCAGAGTAAATGCCGATTACCCACTGCCTCCACCTCTGCCCATCAGTGCCGAAGCTTACTGCTGCAAGTATGATGATATTTTTATAGATTTTTTTTTAACAGATTGCAGTCATCGATACAACCAGATTTGCATAAATAGGCCTGATTATCATGTTCATACCACTGACCAGGTGCTGCTAACTGCTACAAACTTCCAACAATAGATTTCTGCTCTTGCTCAATTACTTTTCCATTTGACAAGTTTTATATGATAATGATTTATTGAATGGTTCACCACTTCAAGGTTCATCGTCGAGTTTTAGTAAGCTTATGTCTGATAGCACACACGAAGTTCAAAGAAAGCTGCCAAAATACGTTACATAGAATTATAGCAGCCTGGCCTAGTGTCTATCTGCGGAGGACATGCCGATCGACGTTCAGTAGGACAAGATTTGTTTCAAATGAGGTTCTGCAGGTCCCTTCTGCAAAGACTCAAAAAAACCCAGGCACATCGGCCTCTATAGTCAAATAAGGAAACTAAGCTACTTGAGATGACTTCTCTTCACACCGGTCCTAAGCAAACTGAGCAAACACTGCCCTTCACTGAAGCCATCCTCAAGTATTTTTGTTAATAATCTGAGGCGTACGTATTGGTACTTTATGCCACCATCATTCCTGTTACCGTCTGTCTGAATAATGAGTTATTTTGATACCAACATTAACTTGCTTTTAATTGAATACATAACTGTTGCATAAATGTTCAGGATAATACAACTATGAAAACACACTGAAATGACAAAATGACCTTGAAAAACTAAAGCTTTGGAAAGCACTCACTGAGATTAAGTAAAAATTAATGCATTGAAGGAAAACAGAAATCAGCTTGGTAACAAGTGACTAAAATACGGAAATTTACTATTTGCCTGAATAGCTTCCAATGTATCAAATGCAAAATGGTATAATATTTTATTTCTTCTATGTCCAATAACTTGGAATTACAGACCGGAGAGATTAAACCCTAAATGTCAGCTGGTGCTTGCTGTGGCCTCTGCAGTGTTCATTCCCAGATTTTCACAGAGAAAGACGTGAGAAAGCCAGCTGCCTTCTGCAGGACTTAACTGCCACTTTTGATATGGCAACAATAAGCTAAGGGTAAGATCCACAGAAGTTCACCTGCTGTTTAGACAGATACAAACCTTCATTTTACAAGACTGTCTGACATCATTAAAGAATAAACAAAACTTGAAAGCATTAACTGAAGGATGTATTCAAAACCGATTTTATCAAGATGTGAGGTAAAGTTACGCAAGATACAAAAGTGCAAGACCATTAATGCATGTACAGTAATATAGGGTGACCTTGGTTTCCACTACTAACTGTCCTAGAAACTGAACAGAAGATTTCATAATACAGTCCTACCCCCATGAAATTACAACTTAAGCATCAAGCGCATAATACAGGAGAATACACTTACATATACTTGCGTATGTCATTATCTAAACATCTATGAAGCAAAAAGATTAATAGATGCCTAAAATTCGTAAGAGTAGAATCAAAATCCATCTTCCAATAATCTATCTCCCTATCATACTCTAAAGTAAAGACTGGGATTTCCACTCTCTCTTCCCCGTAAGATTTCAGTTTTACCTTTAAGTAAGCTATTTTACCCAAGTCATTTCCGAGTTCTCCATGGACTCTTTCTATATCAGCAACACTGGACAAGGGCTGCTCTTCAACTCAACACTGCAGATTATGCTGTGTTCAACCGAGAGCCATGGATGAAAACTAGTACTATGTTAATCTTGCTTTAGGACTGTGTCCATCTTGATGATTCTAAGACTGACTTCAGGGCACAATATGTTCTTTTTCAAAGATTTCAATACAAATCATATAGTCTTACAAAGAACAGAAGTATCGCAGAGTTCAACACGCAGGTATTTCAATCTCTCACACGAAGGTGAATATGGAAACTGTTAGCATGATAAAACCCAACAATTGACTTCCCCAAAACAGGCCTAAGCCAGACCCCAGCTTTGTTAACTGTTTCAGCTCTGTATGACTCTGCTAATTTACACACCTGCAGAATTTGTCCAAGAGGCTTAGATTTTTTTTCATATCTTGCGCAAAAGGACTTATTTTTTGAGACATGAAGCATCTTGCAAGAGTGGTTGTGTTTTAAGGCTTCACCTATCTATCAGCAACTATTTTATTAGTAGCCAGATGGTGGGGGTTGCGGGGGGAGAACCACCAGTACCTCCCTTTGCTACAATTAATTTGATTAAATTTACTGAACACTGATCGGTGCATGGCAGAAAAAGCTCCTGAACTTAATATTGTTTCTGGTATAGAAGTATCATAGAACATATACTGTCAGCAGAGAGGAATACCAGGCTTGAAAGCTGTCAGCTATAGGACGCTCCATTCTTTAAAACTACATATATCCGCACAATACAGTTCTGATGAAAGCAACAGCAAGTAATGTGGTATAAAATATGCATGAGTCTGAACATGTACTGCCAGACAGATGCTCTGTACAGTATGTTTTATGCTTGACAGCATGGTATGGTATGAGTAGAAAGAACAACAGATGAAGACAGAGCTACAGCTTAAAGTGAAGATTATTTTGTTACTTTTTTCCTTTCATTGAGAGCAGAAATAAAGCAAAAAATGTGCAAAAACCCCAGTCAACAACATGAATAAAAGAGGACAAAGAAGATATTAGCATAGTTCAAAACTTCAAACCTCCCTTACAACATTTCAGTCCTACTAACTAGTGTGGTAAAGCTAATCACATTTGCTTAGCCACTCAATTTTGTAAAGATGCTGTCACCTGACATTTGAAACATAGTATTTCCCATCATAATGGTATGACAACGGCATCCAACATTTATAAATATGGAAGACCCATTTTTTGCATAATTACCTTGTGAAGTCAGTCATCTCCATCATAATTACACACATCCTCTTGGCCAAAACAATGATGTCGTTGCTAGTATCATCCCATATTTCAATCTCTGCATCAAGCTTACTCTTGACTTTTTTGAAGTCAGCCACTTGCTCAGCAATCTTTTCCTTTTCAGCCTCTGGCAGTTGAGTCATCTTGGCCTGAAATATAAAATAATTTGATGTGCAAAATGTCTATGTCAGAGTGTATTTTCTTTTTAGTGAAAAATTAGTATTTTTGCTTGTAAAATCACTGGAATCTTATTAAATATAAAGTTTAAACCACTGTGGACTGAGCCAACTGCTCCAGCCTGAGCACTTTGGAATCTCAAAATCTGTATAGCATTATGGGGTTGGGCCAAATAAATTACCTTGGAGTAATGGGGAGAGTTGTGTCCATGAAACCATTAATATTTATGTAGTAAGAGAAAGCATAAATTCTTCCCAAGAGCCCTTATGAAATATGACTGATAGGTTTTCCTTCTTCTTAGGGTTGAAGTGTTTTTAAGTATTATCAAAAACGTAGTATTCTTTCGGATGGAAAGAAAAAATGAAAAGGATTAATTGTCCTAAAACTTTCAGGTATTCTTGCCCTCTCTCCTGTGAAGGTCTTTCGCTATCATTTTAAGAACTGAGAAAGACTTAATTGTTCAAATATGCATCTTCTGCCTTTGAAGATAAAAACTAATACATCAGAAATCAGTACGTGAATTAAGGCTGCCAAAAAAGTATATTTAATGCCAATATGAAAACATCCAATATTCAAACTAAAGCCACAGCCAACATGAGTTCAGACAGGACACTTGGCTGCGGCTCCGGACTGGACTGTTTGAAAACATTCCACCAGATAAAACTGTTTAAAATAAAGGTTTACTATAACTAGAAAAGTGGTGTGCTTTGTGCAAATTCAGACTATGGAATAAGAACGTTCGATCTATACTGAATGCACATATTCTTCCTACATTAAAGCATTAGTGAAGTATTTAATATATAAAGAGAAAAACAACTTCTGAAAATGCATCACGGTGAGAGATATATTTGACTTAGTATTATTCTACATGAGCAAGATGATTAGCCTGCTCCAGACAAGGGTCAGATATGCCTCCTGTGTCAGAAAAAGGCCAGGGTAGCAGACAGCGGCCAAAATATTACATGGCCATATGGCAATTCTGGCCCTTCCTAAGACCTTCTTTCCAAGGAAGCAAGGAGACCTTTTAGCCTGATTGCTCTCGGCGGCTCTCTCACCACAGTGTTTTTTATCCAGCGCCTTCTCTCTGGCCTACCTCTTGCACCACGGGCCATCAGGAACTCATAGTTACACACAGCACCTATTAACATGCTATAATTATGTTGCAATTAAACAATAAATATTTTGTGACTTTTCTTGTTTAGAAAACATTATCTACCATCCATTAAACAGGAAGTTTAGGCAATGAAGGAATTAATTCTAATTAGAACAACAGGTGAGCAGTTTAATATGTAAAGAGTACGTTTTCCAAGCAGTGTCATTTCATAGATTTTATTTATGCTGGAATCACAGTCACAAAGTTAGTTTTCCCATTTATATGAATTATGGAAAATTACAGGTCTCCTAAGGTGTAACTGTGTTGTAATTACTATGTTATAATTGCAGTCACAGAATAAGGAAGTGTAACTATTTCAAGGAATACTTTTTTTTTTCCTTAACAAAACAGGAAAAAAGTAAAACAGACCAGAGGAGACAGACACATTTTCCCCGTGGCCATAGGATAAGCTTGCCGGGAGATGTATGAAAAAGATAAAAATAGGAGCTGGGCTACCAAGTCGGGAGAACTGAAGTACCCCTTTTTATAATCTAATGTGTATTTGCTGATCGGTGGATGCTTACGCTGTTTCCTAGCCCCCAACTTCAATACTGTTCTGAGGTACAAGAACACAGGCGTAGATCTGGGAACCACAAGAAAGATGACATTTTAATGAGGGAAATGTGACATACAGTATCCTGCTATGTGCCAACAACAATGAATTTCTAGTGGAATGAGAAACATTATCCACTGGCAAAGGAAATGACAATTCTGACCTTGAGTACTCTTTCATTTTCCTTATACCTATTTAAAACCATATACAGCAACAAAATAAAACAATAGTATACACAGCCTTCTAAACACAGATTTTGATTTTGTATCAAAATAGATAACATAATGGTAAATGTTCAATAAAGATCTACATTGAATGACTGCTACTAAATGAGCACAGGCTTATTTTGTCCATCAGAAGAAAATGGTTTTTTCATTACCTCCAAAACAAAATGTTTTTTATTGCAGTAGCAGATAACAGAGTCAAAACTAGGTGAGAAATTATATTTGTGGTATTTTTCTCTCTTCTATTACAAAAATAACCCAATATATACTTTTTCTTTGATTTCCTTGAATTAACTCTTCAGAAGGCTATTTATCCTTTGTACCTGGGAGCCTCCAACACTGAGGTTACTTGTATTGTCCCCTTTGCAAATGGACTTAACATGTGAAAGCAGTGTTTCATTTCAGTCCCTTCCAAGTTTCAGTCAATTCGCTGTCACAAGTATCGAAATTTTAAGGTCAGAACTGTCCACATAGTGATACAAATAGAGGACATATAGGGAGTAGCTATTTGATGAACATTTTGACTCTTATCTCACTTGGTGTATTACTCATCAATGAGATCCCAACCCAAAAAACTGGCCTTTTGCCCACCTTTGTCCCTGGCTATACTCTAAGGAACTCACTTTTGGATAAACTTAGGATTATTCTCTCCTAGTCTTGGAGCAACATGCAGATTTTAAATTTCTTGATCCCCTAAAATAAATGCCCAGCTATATCCACACCACCAAAACTCTTACCGCTTACAGGGAGGCTACATAGAAAGAAAAGCAACAGAAACAGGCATAAATACGCTCAAGCAATTTTTTGTGGTATCGAAAACTCCTTCTGTCCGAGACAGAGGCGAGCCAGATCTCCTTTTCAAAGGCAAGAACCTCCCTTCTAAAATTATTTAACACTTCCTGCATTGTAGGTTGCAGTATGTCACATAACTATAGAAAAGATAAAAACTGTGTTTTCCTACAACTTCTCAGGTTACAAAAAAAACAAACCCCACTGTCCTAATGGAGCACATGAAAAATTTTTCAGAGCTTTTATAAGCAATAAGACAAAATAACGTGGTCTTCACATACTGAAGTTGCAAGACAATGGCATAGATGCAAAAAGATCCGATTCACACCTCTGCTTTGCCTTAGTTGAGAACTAAGCTTTTCCTTCCACCACACTCGGCAGCCACAGGAAACCATCTCACCCGTGTTCTTACTCCCCACTCCCCTGCTGCAGTCAGCTGAACATTTGGTGGATGTGAACAATATCCCTCCAAATGACTCAAATGACAGTTAATACATTTCAATCAAACTGTTATAAAACAGTTTCAATTGTGACCTTCAGCTGTTTTTTTTTGGACAGACTTTGTGGATCCCATCAGCTGAGCCTATTTTATCAAGGTGAGCATTAGACACTTACAAAGACTATTATACAGATGTATTTTGAATACCAGTATATATGTCCATTTCTTGAATACAGCACAAATTCAAAAGCAATTCTGTTAAAATGAGTACAATCTGTCTACTACCTTTTACAAAACAGACTACTTTTTATACTGAGTAAATAATTGTTCGAGTTGGGATAAAAAGGTAAAAAAAAATGGTGAATATTCAGCAATTCACAGCAAAATGAATACACTGGATATTCCCCAGAAATGAACTGCGTGGGTGTGCTATACTGACAGCTGGGAGAAGCTGAATTTCTTTTAAGTTTACTACCTGTTGTCACCAGTTGTCTCCTCCCATTTTTAAGAATTGCAGCATGCCTGCTGAAGTCTAGCATTCTTCAGACAAGTTCATGGAGTACCTCATTTGTGCTGCCCTGTTAGTTCCTGCGCATTTTTAGATACAATATAATTGGATAAAGAGGGAAAGCTATCAGGAGATAATAAAATGTTTAATGCCATTTTTGCATCGGCCTTCACTGGAAAGGTTGACTTAGATGAGGCAATTGTGTCATATTCATCTAATTTCTCTTTGTCCTCAGTTAACAGGCCTACAGATGAAGCAGCAGCATGTCATAAATCTGGGCCTCGCCAGGGTTTTGTCACTAGTTCCCATGTTATCCTCATAAATAATCTAGGGAAAGATGATCTGAATGTAGTTGTCATTGGGCGGATGTGATATTGGTTAGAAAACTGCTCATGGAATATTTAACAAGAACGCATGCCAAACCGGAGGGATCCATCGGGCAAAATTCTGAGCAGACTTGCCTCGACTCTGCCAGTATTCGGTACTTTTTGCTAATGTCATGGATGACAGAACCAAGAGTACACGTCACACATTTGCAGTGTAAGAGACCTGGTTTACAATTCAAAGTGATCTTGAGAAACTTGAAGACTGATTTGAAAAAAATGTAAGGATCTATTTCAGCTGAGGCAAGTACAAGCTTTTACACCTAAGAAAAATCATCAACACACACATGGAACTGATACAAAACCAGTTTAGACAAGTTAGTCTGGACACAAAATTCAAGAAGTCATTAACCAACTGAAGACAATCCAGGAGAGGAGAGAGCAAAGAGACATATAGAAACCACCATTTTAAATGATAAATGAAGGGTATTTGAGTTATTTAATCTGGAGTTTAGAAAACAGAGAGGACACAGAACAAGGATCTACAAGTACAAAACAGACTACACATACAAAAAGGAAATCCCACGTCCACTGTATCCATTTCCAGTAAGTCTAGCACTAACATGTGTATCTGCAACATATGAGATAAAATGAAAAAAACCCTTTCCAATAAACAATCAATTCCAGTAATGAGATAAATAAAGACAGCAATCCAATTGCTCTTATATATGTACGTGTCAGGAAGAGGTTTGTTTATTCAACCTTGGGACAAAAGGCTGGATTAGCCTACTTTCTGGGCTTCTTTCCAGTCCTACTATGTAACAGTACATAATATTATACTGCTACAATCTTGATCCCTCCATTACCTTCATCTCTTCCCTTTATTGAAATTGTGGTAACTTCAGATTTAGCAAGGAAATTAAATGCTTTTGATAGATCACGACTCCTGACAGGGAATCTTTTGCCATATATTAGGTGTCAAAATTACTATTCATAGAACTTACTCAAAATCACTGTAAATACTGGCATTATTCTTGAAATCTTATCATCACGATTTCAAGCTTGTGTGGCTTCAATAACAATTACAACTACAAAATATTTTAAACTCTGCTTTTTTATTAACAATAGCACACGCTTCTGGTTAACATATGCCAGCATTTATATTATCATAGGAACTCCAATGTAAAGTATTTGTTACTTAAGTAAGAATTGCTAATTCATTTGATGACAAATTAACTTCTCTGAGTATTTTCTTAAGCAAGTATCAGTAGGCGTTCTTGGCCTTTGCTTTGAAATCTAGTCTCTCTCCTAAACGATTCTGGTGAGACGTTTACATGACCACCTCTTCAAGATGGAATACAAACAAAACTGTAAAATAATTCAGCCTGCACATTCTCGCTCACAGTAATACACGCTGAGTTGACTCTTCATCAGGCCCAAATTGTCGCACAAACATATTACACAACGAATCTGTATAGAAGATCTTAGACATTTTTGCCTGTGTATTCATAAAACTGTCTGTGGAACTCAGAAAAAAAGAATGTGAATGGGCGGTTGTCTGAAAGTATTTCTGCTCTTGCCATCTCCAAGTGGATTATATTAAGAGCTAAAATATTTTGGCTTTTCTTCAGTACGAACACCTAACCTGTAGCAGTAGCTCACAGATTAAGGTAACATGTTCCCTTCACTAATTTAGTAAGTTGAAAGGCTTAAAGTAAATTTTCTCCTATCATCAGAATGTACATTGTCATCTAAGCCTGATAATTAACTGGGCAAATTCTTGATGTTCTCTTCAATGCAAAATCATGTGATCGTAAGCCACTAACTATCTCAATGGAATTACCCTGATCATGACAGCATAAATTTCCCCAAGAAAAATTACTGTGTGATAAGCTTGAGGAGTAACTATACAAACTAGATACAAAAACCAGAGGAAAACCTAACTCTCAGCTGAGAAAAACTGCATTGGTCTGTGGATCTACAAGCAGCGCCTGTTTTTCTAGTAGCTAAGGATTTGGTCCTAAGTGTCTCCTTCAAAAATATAAAACTATCCTACAGATAATGATCAATACTGCTATCCAGTCTAATTAGTGGGAGATCTCACAGCACACTGCATCCCACAGTGTGGGATGGTGCCATAAGAAAAATCATGTTCATCTTAGAGATATGGAATTATTTGAGCGCAAGATCAGTGAAGTAACACTTCCAAGATTATCTATATACTTGCCAAGTCAGGAACATAAATACAAGGTCAAGTCTCAGTCCTGCTATCTCACCACTAACCTTTACTCTCTCTATACAGAGATAGATCCTGAAGAAGTTATAAATAATAGCGTATGACTTTTTCCCACATAAGGAAAATGAGATTTGCTAGTTAAGATGTGGCCTTTGTTACAAGCAGCACATGCACATCACATCTGGTTTTACATGCTTTATATATAAAAGAAAGAAAGAAGGCACTTTCAGAGGCCCAAGCTCCCTGTTGAAACCGTGAGAGATGTGACAAAGGAGAAAATATGGCACTCTTGACAGAGTAAGAGGAATCAAGAGTGCTGTTATGCAGAACCAGTATTGAGGCAGATATGTATAAATAAATTTGAATTACTACAGAGCAAATGCCCAAGAGAAAAGAACTCACGGAGGAAAAAGGGTTACCCTGCAATCTCATCATGCCACTTCTGGAACACAGTCATTCTTGCTGTTACCACGGCATGCAAAAGTCTCACAATAGCACAGAAATCTGCTGCAGAACACAAAACAAGACAATCCCTGTCTAAACCTTAAAATTTATCTTCCCTACACACATTCTTCATATTGCTAAAGAGGTTCTATGTATAAGTCTTTAAATATCAATATAAAATATCAGTCCAAACAGACAGGCCTTAAATCATCGTTCACATTTGCCGCAGCAGCAAATAGATTCATTCAAACGTTTTAACAAAAAAAAAAAAAAAAAAAAAAAAAAAGTACATGAAGGTTTCTGTCAATATGTTGATTCAGGCTGAGAGGGTATGCATCTAATTTAGCTATAGTTTTCTATTAATTTGGGGGTTAATGTGCCATTTATGGTCCCGATAGCATAATCTAGGACAATTGTTCCCAAGTACAGTTATAGAATCAGGCTTTTAAGCAATGACCTGCTATCTAGATCCCCCCAAAATGAACATTTAAAGTAACTGTATTATTTTGGGCAGAAACAGAAGAAAAAAAATGGAAATCTATATCCTATACTGTTAAAATACTGCTTTGTCAGATGTACTAACTATAGTTTATCTATAAGTAACAGTCCCTTACACCTCCCCACCAAATTCACTGTCAGTGCAGATTACACACTGTGTGTAGTACAAGGAAAAGCATATCCCAGAAATCTCTCTCCACAGCAATAACCTAGCCTCTGAGTCTTGATAGCCAGCTCCCTACCCACAGCTGCCTGCAGTGTTTACTTCTAGCTTTGTGTAGGCATCCGGCAGTATGTGTTATTTATGGTTTTGTTTTCAAAAAACATTCCCGTTAAGGAAGTACTCTAGTCGATCTGAGAAGTGGAAGACCATGTGTGAAAATGGGATCTTTTAAAGCTTGAGTGGATCTTTTGTTACTACATTGTGATAGTAAACATCTACAAACAACTACATCTGTTTTCCCAGTAAGAGAAAAAACTGCAAATGCATTCATTATGGGATATTTATGAAAATATGCAAGCACATCATCTGTACCTGTTCCGAACAAATTCACAGCATCTTATATGGATAGCATTTTGAAGGAAAACCTTGCCTTTTCTAAGCACAATAGTCATTTTAGCCTGTAATGTGAGGAAAATGTGCTAACATTTACGAAGAGTAATTTAAATTGAAAAGGGCAGCTAGTATATTTTAATTGCTAATTATGTTTATTGAGTACTAAGATTGTATGAGGTGATCTTTCACATGGTTGTTACATTTCTCACTATGTTTTAAAACTCAACTGACAATTGATTAACATGTAATTGATACGCACATGTCACATATGCAACACAAGTGAACAACATTCAGTTTGTTTACTGCTTCTTCATTACTATTTAGGGTCTTAATAAAGAAAATACCTGTGTTCGTCCAATAATAAAAAAGTGCTGAAAAGCAGACACGCATTAAAACACCATTTTCTTGACATAATTATTTTTACATAGAAAAGTTTTGTTGTTTCCGAACTAGTTCTATAACTTATAATTTCCATTACGGGAATAATACTAGAATCAGTACAATGTGAGAGATCTGTTATTGCTCTAGGTATTGAGCAAGCAAGCAATGAATTAGGTATTTCTGGCCCCATGGATCTTTGCACTTCAGGAAGTTGTGATTACAGTTTTGCTGAAACATCGCTGCGGTGGCTAAGATTCCAGATATATCCCTTTCTCTGCTATGCACCTGAGTTTTCTCCTAAGTAGAGGTTATTTCTAGATAATGCACATTGCAAGCTTCAGTAAGAACCAGATATAAAAAAACCTCTTTATTAACCTAGCTTCTATTAGACCAAGCCAGGTTTAGGAAACTGTAACCTGTTAGAATTTAATTCAGTAAGTAGAAAAATTTTTCTGTCTAATTTACATGTTCACCAAGTATTTACAACTTAATTACACTGTCTTTTTCACATCACACACATCAGTTTTATGCCTTCTGCACATTTTCAAAAAAATCTATTAGGATTTGAACAAGAATTTAATGATTCAATGCAGGACTTTAAGTGGCTTCATAGGAACAATAACACAGTAGCATTTTTCCCCTCATCAAATTGCTTTTAAAATAAACCGGTGTAATACATACCCTGTCAGTTTTCCCTTCGGTCTGAATGCTTGTACGACTACGTGCATCATGGTCTTCTTCAAGGTCAGACACATCTTCTAGCTCTTCAGGTGTCTGGGAAAGAAGAAAAAATTAGGAATGGATTATCCTCTTTCACGGCTAGTAACTTTCATATTCATGTCAAACACACATTATAGTTTGGTCTAAGATGATGTCTGACAAACAAAAACCAGTCCTGTTCTAGCAGCACACTCGTTACTAAATGCTAACTAAAATCAAATTGTCAGACAGCTTTGAACTCATTCAGAATAGCCATGCTTTAATTGAAGTACCGACTTTTAAAGTTGCTACTTAGGGAAGTTATTTTCTATTTCAATATTCAGTTACTGCTGCTAGCACAGGTGTCTTAAAGAAACCTTCACATGACAAGAAAGGATGCCTAAATTTTAGAACCAAAATATTTTTTCTACTTTTTTTTTTTTTACAAGCTTTTCTACTAGTCTACACTGCAGCAATACTCAGATGCCCACTCTCCCCTCTTCATGTTAGGCACAGTAGATCTAGTAGGTCCTTGAAAGGACCTAATATTTAGTCAGTAGTAGCAAGAGGCTTCAGAATCCTGCTGATTTTTGTTGCTACACTGACATCAAGGAGTGCTCCGAGTCAGGTATGTGCTCTGGGAGGGAAAGAACACCTCTTCTCCAGTTCTGAATGTGTCACTTCTTGATGCTATCAAGCAGCTCAAGTTCCTGCACTACAGAAAGTATCAAGTAGCCCTAATTTGCTATTTGTAAACATAGCATTATTTCATGTGCCATTGTCTGTTCCTTCTAGTCACCTTATCTGCCATTTAAGCAACACCAGGTCATTACACAGAAAGACACATTTGTATTATGATAATTTGCTGTGTTTTTCTACTGCTGTGATAGGGTTTTTTAGGGTTGTCTATAGTTTTTGCCTGTAGGTGGATAGGAAGAAGTAGTTCTCACAGATATCAATTAATGATATCAAGCCATCTTCTCAACAAAGGTAATCCCAACAGCCCTAGGTAAATACATTTACACTTTATTCAGCACATAAGTCTTTCACAACCCTTAAACTATTATCCTACTTCGGTAACATAGGTTTTGGGTACTAGTTTTTCTAACCATACATGAGCAACTCCATCAAAAAACATTGTTAAACTTATGCTAAGAGCAATTTTCTATACAATCCAGGTCTCTGCATTTATTTCCTCCTTCTCACTTACCAACATATTAAAAAAAAAAAAGTCTTCATGCAGAAGTTCTGAATTTTATTTTATATAACTTAGTAAAAAAAAGCATAATGAAAATGGTGATATTAAGGACACTAAAAACATTAAAAGCAAGTTTAATCATACTAACAAAACACTGTACAATGAACCACACAAAACTTTTGGGATTATGAACTATGAAAAAAATATTATTGGTTCTGCCAATGCAATACGGCACTCAAAAATTTTACTTTATCAAGTAGATTCGCATTTTAAAGAAAAATACATAGAACTAGACACAATACTCAGCTGGTAACTGATCTATGACTGAATGATCTACTACCAACTTGACATCTAGAATTCCAATTAGAGGGAAATCTTGACATTCTTAGTCTCCCAAAAGCCTGATGTGCCAAAAGAAACGTAACAATAGAAGGACTATCAGATAATCCTACCAAAAGGCAGGCAGAAAAAAAAACAAAAAAAAAAAACAAAAAAACAAAAAAAAACACAAACAAAAAAAAAAAACCTTTTACCCAATTTTCAATCAGGTCAAATATAGTTTTTTTAAATCCAGAATTGCTATTATGTTCTCAGCTTTTAACTTTAATGTCAAGGTATATATAAACAAGATGTGCTGAGACAGACACTATAGGATTATGTTATTTTACTTCTGGCTCCATAGCTTGGTAATGGCACTACATTAAATGGAATAAATCCACCTGCATACATTTGTATTGTCTGGGAAAGCATCTCTGTGGCCAGAAGGTGGTATACAAACTACCAGACTTCAAAGTCAGCCTTGACACAAGGTTTAAATAGCACTCCATGACTTCAAGAGCACACAAGTAAATTTCACTCACTGAACAAAATAACAGTAATTGCTATCAGGTAACACTGTAAAGAAATAAAGAACTCAAAGCAGGTGTACAAGCTGGCAGAAATGCAAATCTGGTTGTGAAAAATACACCTAGACTGCCTCAAGAAAACAGACAGGCAATCAACTTTTGAGGCAAAGATGAACATAATGCTACAGCGGTAATGCAGGGAAATGGAACATTTCATTTTCAGGCAACAACTAAGAGTGTGAAGTCTCTCAGCTTTAGTCCTGGAATTAGACATACTATGAACTTCACAGTAGCCAAAAGCTGTTACCATGGAAAAGTTGTTTGAAAACCTGCAGTGTGGAAGGAAAACCAGATTTTGTTGTGGGTGGATATCCATGAAATTAAAAAAAAAAAAAAAAAAAAAAAAAAAAAAAAAAAAATCACACAGTCACTTTAATTTAAACACTTACAGACACTCTTATTAGAGGACCAGTAACAGAAAGAGTATGAAAATGGAGTAACTTAAGCTTCTCAGGAATGCTCTGACCAGGGTTCTCAGGCAGGTAACAGCCTGGATTCAGTCAGTGGTTTATAGAAAAATGAAATCACTTCATTTTAAAAGCTACACTATACTTGGTTACCACATACAGAAATATAGTGGGTTTCACATTTTTCTAAACATTAGTTACGATTTTTTTCCCCAAGGATGATAAAGCTGGATTCACAGTAGAAGGGCGAATCCCTTCCTGGGTAAGCACATACTTGGGAATGTTTGACAATCCCACATTTCCAATATAATTTTTTTTAATTCTATAAAACATGGAATGCAAGATATTGCGACAGGGCAGAATGGTTAATAATTTTGAGACAGTCACATTATTTTTAAGTGAATGTTACGTCATGTCAGGGAAAGCTTCATACCATCACCATTCCACAACAGATTGCATATACTTCTTCACAATAAGATTATTTTAGGAGGTACTGAGAAAAATGTGTAGAATAGGATTGATACAAATTTTTCTGTAAAACCTAAACTACATAAATATCACCAGCCTAAATGTAGACATCTTAGAGAGCAACGATGACAGGAAAATGACACTAGTGTAAGGCATCTCTAAATGACAATCTCAGGTAAGTTTTCCATACGTGAAAACATCAATCTACCAATCTGTCAAGGCACTTTCATAACTACAAGCAGTAGAACAGAGAACTCCTTCCAGCTGCACTGGTGTAGCGATTCACTCTCCAATTCTTTGCTCATATGCAGAACACTGGGTCACAGTGTAAGTGGCTCATCTCTGAGCCCTTCTTGGACCAATGCTGCCAGAAGACTTCCCCCTGACCCCCCTTCAAATAATGCATATGTCCTTTTCAGGTTAGTAAAATTTATTTGTGCCTGGGATAAAAAGTTTCTTGTAGAAATCTCATTTTCCTAGCCCAAAAAAGCACACTCCCACTGACTTCTTCTTAAGTCATTCTCTCCAAAGTCTAGATCTGCCAGGTTCCGAACTGTTGGTAATACAGAACTCTGAAAAACATATCCAGTTATTAAAGACTAAGGAGAAAGTTTCAGGCAGAAAGCAGCTTGATTTATCAAACAAGTCACAAATCATAAACCACGGTCAATTTGATACCATCACAAACTGTTTCGGTTAGAAGGGATGGATCTTAAAGCCCCCCCCAGTCCCACCCCCCTGCCCCAGGCAGGGCCCCCTTCCCCCAGCCCAGGGGGCTCCCAGCCCCGTCCAACCTGGCCTTGAACCCTTCCAGGGAGGGGGCAGCCACAGCTGCTCTGGGCACCCTGGGCCAGGGCCTCATCACTCTCACAGGAAAGAATGTCTTCCTTACATCTAATCTAAATCTACCCTCTTTCTATTTAAATTTGTTACCCCTCATCCTATCCCCAACACCCCCCGATCCAGAGTCCCTCCCCACCTCTCCTGTCCCCCCTTTAAGCCCTGGGAGGCTGCTCGAAGGTCTCCCCGGAGCCTTCTCTTCTCCAGGCTGAACCCCCCAACTCTCTCAGCCCGGCCTCCCAGGGGAGCTGCTCCAGCCCCCCCAGCATCTCCGTGGCCTCCTCTGGCCCCGCTCAAGCAGCTCCGGGTCCTTCTGCTGTTGGGGGCCCCCGAGCTGGCCCCAGCACTGCAGGGGGGTCTCCCCAGAGCAGAGCAGAGGGGGAGAATCCCCTCCCTGGCCCTGCTGCCCCCCCTGCTCTGGCTGCAGCCCAGGGCACGGGTGGGTTCTGGGCTGCCAGCGCACGGGGCTGCCTCACGGGCAGTTTTCCCCCCACCATCCCCCCCAAGCCCCTCTCCTTGGGGCTGCTCTCCAGCCGCTCCTCGAGGGCCCAGCCTGGGTTTGCGCTTGGGACTACCTCGACACTAAGCATCAAAAAATTAAAAAACCCACCTACCATAATAATGAGAACAATCTAAGTAGTTACTCTATTCTTTTATCTCATTGGAAGCTGTTTTATATATTTCAAAGCAAAATCAGTGATTTTTCACATTGCTTACATGGTCCACTATTTATTAAATACCTGAGACACACATCTATCTGCTTATACGAATCTGCAGGTTCCAGATCAGGAAACTGAATATAATACAACTCTCTGATGGTTTTGAATTCTACACTCACTTTAAAAGCTACAGTAAGAAAATGTTATTGCATATCTGAACTGGTATGGACTACCAGGGCTTGTCACACAAAATAGGGTGCTATCATCCGTTAGCAGAGATTTTGCACAGGAAGAACAGCAGAGCTTGATGACTAGAGTAAGAAGAACAGAATGAACTTCACAGTGCCGTTCAAGGTTGAGCGTTTAGGGCTCAGATATAAACAGTACATAACCTCCAACGTAAACTACAGTCTCAACAACTGCAAGTGACGGAAGAGGATTGGGTATACATACTGACAGGATAAATATGAGATATAAATTGCAAATTCATTATTAAGACATTCAAAGTATAGATTTTCCAATAAATACAAGGAGGAACGTGGAGGTAAAATGCACAATACTCTGGCCAAAGTACAAACTCGTACATGAAGCACAGAGA